TGGGTTCCTTTGTTAATGTAAAGACTACAAATGGATTCTAACTATCAGTTTCAGCACCTAAATCCCACTTATACAATAGAGGCAAGCGTTCAAGAATAATATAGGAAGACAGAAAGCCCAGAGAGTATCTCAACACATCCTGAGATAGCAACAGAGATGGTGATAGAGATGGGGTGGGTTGGGCAGATGTAGACTTCCCATCTTCATATACCCAGTCTACCAGCACTTTTGACTTTGTTTCCCAAGGCAGACTGCTTTGTGGTCATTTCGATCAGATTTTACCTGCCTAGAAAGGAAGAAGGGCATACAAAATAGTACAGTGCAATCTGAATTTATTATGTCTAGGACAAGTTGAGAATACATATAATTAGTAGCAGGTTGGATGAGGAAATAAAGAGCACCATAGAATAAAGTTGCACGATAAATTGAATATTGTTTTGTTCTAAAGTTACTGCAGTAGTGCCTGCCTGGCAAGTACAAGGTCCTAAGTTTGATTCCCAGTACCAGAAAAATGAAGTGAAATAAACTAAAATAGCAAATTCCTGAATTAATGTCTAGATAGAGAGCTAGATCGATAGGCATTACACAGTTACAAAGATGCACATGCCTACTTCTAACTCCTACACTTCACGGGCTGGCCAGATAGCTCATTGGCAGTGAAAGGGCCAAGGGTTCGATCCCTGGGCACACTGAGATGGCAATGAGACTGGGCGTGGTGGCGCAAACCTGTAATCCCAGCTCTTGGGAGGATGTAAACAGGAGAATCACTATGAGTCCCATCTAGTAGTGAGATCCTGAGCACCCTGTAGACCCTTCCCTAAAATACAGAAGAAAAAAATAAAAATTAAATCCTACACTTCATTCACTCAGGCCCATTTCTAGCTGCTCCATAAATCCTTCTATTTAATTTTTTCCTCAACTATTCTTACCTCCAAGTTTCTAAAGTACGCATATTCGCAACATAAACTTGTCGCCTGAGTTAAAATGCGCGCTCCACTTAATTGTCATCCTGCACAATAGTCGGCACACAGTAGGTAGTCAGGTACCTAAGCCAGCAACATTGCGGGGAGGGGCCACTGGGATATGTGGGTCCAGTTCAGGCCCTGGATCCCGTGGGCCACAGTGATCATAAATCACTCCCAGGATTGCCTTCCCTGAAGATAACTGAATTTTAAAACCTTGGTATTGTTGCAACAATTACCTGCTGCATTTGCTATTTAAAAAAAAAAATTGTAGGAGGACACTGTCTATCACACCACTCAGGGGCCCCTTATATAAAGTCACATGTAGTTTAAAAATAATTTTGTGCCCCCAAAGCCCTGTTTCCACTGAGTATGTTTTCTGTCTGGGCCAAGAGCGCTTTTTGCTACTCTCTTTCTATTGGGAGACTACTGGCCTGGCTGCGTCTCCTCTTGCCCTTGACAGTCAAGAGGCTCAGAGACATTTGGAGCTGGATCACACACATATGATGATGTATGTATTTTCCTTGTACAGGATTTCAACTTTTTCCTGTCTTTCTAGTTACTATTTTAAAGCTTTTTCCCCCCTTTGTGCAGGGATTAAGCCCAAGGCCTTACGCATGTGAGGCATAAATTCTACCACTGAGCTAACCCCAGCCCTTAAAGTTTTAGCTCAGTGATCTAAAGTGCCTGCTTAGGCAAGCTTAGGCAGGTGCAGGGTCCTGTGGTTCAATCCCCAGCATCACATACCCGCCAGCCCCGCCCTCAGGGCAGGCTTAGCCAGCAAAAAATAGAATAAAATCATGATGAATTTTAGAAAATAGAAAAAAAGGGAAATTTCCAGTACTTTATAACCCTTCAATTTAGATATATAACATATCTTCGGATATTGTTGGAAATTGTAGAATAAAAAGGTCTAGAAATAACAATGATGTAAACGATGCTGTCATGGGAAAGATATCCTGAGGTAGGTGATCTCAGTCTGATATGGTGGCTCCACTACACTATCAGGAACACGAGTCTTTCTATTCTGCTGTCATCTTCATGAGGCCCCTAGAGTGACTTCAAAGTCACTCCTTGCCCAAAGTGGCTGTCAGAATGGAGGCAGGAAGGAAAAATAGAAGACAAAGGATCAACTCTCTGCCTATGGAGGAGCTTTCCTAGAAAGCAGAGGGGTATGGTTTAGATCTAAACTGTTCCCCAAAAGTCTCATATGTTCAAAAGTGGAATTTTGGAGAATGACTGGATCATAAGGGCACTAGTCTCATCAAAGGGTCAATCTATTCATAGCTGAGTGGGCTATTGGGCAGTGGATCCCTGTTGGAGGAAGGACATCATTGCTTTGAAGGATGTCTCTTTTCTCGGCTCTCTTCCCGCTTACTCCATGTCCTTGCTGCCACGAGACAAGCAGGTTTTCTCCACCAGGCCCTTCTGCCATGGTCTTTGTACCTGGAAACCAGCCAACCAGGAACCAAAACCTCTGACGCTGTAAGCCAAAATAAATCCTTCTTTCTCTGAGTGAAATTTTTTTTCCAGATATTTGGGCATGGAGAGAAAAGCCTAGCTAATAAACCAACCCAGCCAAAATTGGCCAGAACTTAATCCCATAGACTCACCTAGCTGCAAGGGAAGCTGGATTATGATTTTTTTTTCATACTCCAATTTTATTTTTTTTGCATATTTCCAGGTTCTGTTACTAAAGATGAAGGGGAGACTTACTCTTAGAATCAGCAGTCAGCTATTTCCAAGTCTCTCTCTCTCACTTCCTCTCTTGATAGATAGATTGATAGATAGATAGATAGATAGATAGATAGATAGATAGATAGATAGATAGATAGGCAGGCAAGCAGGCAGGCAGGCAGGCAGGCAGGCAGGCAGGCAGACAGACAGACAGACAGACAGACAGACAGACAGACAGACAGACAGATTAGTATACATATATTAGTATATACTCTGTAGTATATGCTACGTACTATATATGTAATATATAGCATAATATATACAAATACTACCATATATGTATAGTATTTATTGAAGCCATCTCAAGTAGTTAATGGAAAGAACTGAAAGTATAAGTAGACTTCAGTCAATAGTTAAATATCAGTCAACAAAAGGTGCTATGTTTTGTTCCCCTGTAAACTTTACCACTCTATTCTTCCCCCTTTTTCTATGAATTTTCACTTGCTTTTACACTAATAGCATTTTTAAAACATTTGATCAGTATGAACTTCTCCTGAGCTAGAAGGGACCTTAATTTTCTCTAAGAGTTACATATTCCAGTGCTTCAGGGCCTTTCAAGTCCTAGCCACAATTAGCCTGAGCCAGGAGCCAGGGCTGAAGATAATAATGGGTGCAGGGCATCGCTGAGGGCGCAGACTCTGCCTTATCTGAAGGGGTGGTGCTGCTCAGGCCTGGTCTTTGTCGCCCTGTGAGAATGCCGGCTCCATCTTGCCATATCTTAGAATTTTTTTAAGTGAAACCAAAACTCCAGATTCTTATCTGAACTTTCCCAGTGATTGTAGCTTGACAAGTCCATAATTTGGTGTACCCTGCAGCCCACGGACTGCTAGTTTGGGGTCTCAGGTCTGCCCAGGCCTGTTTCTGAGCCTGTGGGGCACAGGGGGCCCTGTTGTGGCTGGAAAGGCTGCTCAGAGCCCCCAGCTCCCCACAGTCATCTGGGGCTGATCTCTGCCTTCTGAGGCGATCATAAGAATGCAAAGCTGAGCAGGATGCTGGGAAGGTGAGCTGAGTCTTTCCTCTGACTGCTGCTTCCGTCTTCAGTCATTCTGCTGTGGCGGAATCAGGGAAAGAAGCAAGGCTTGAATCGCAGCTCAGGTTTTACAGTGACTGTGGCCAAGCCATTCAGCTTTTCTGGTTTTGGGGTGTGTGTGTGTGTGTGTGTGTGTGTGTGTGTGTGTGTGTGTGTGTGTTTTGCTTGCTTCTCTCTCTTTCTTGCTTTCAAGTAGCATAGCATGGTGGTTAAGAGCATGGTCCTCTGGAGCCAGAGGTGGGTCCTGGCTTTTCTACCACCATTACAACCTTGAGCAAATACTTAAAGCCTTCTTAAGCCTCAGTTCCCTCATCTGTAAAATAGGATAATAATCCCATCTCCCTTACTGGGCATTAAGAGTTAGTTTGCATGAATTATGAAGGACAGAGCTTGGTGTATAGGAGCTCAAAATTAGAACTATGTCAATTTTGCCTGTTTCCTCATGTTCTTGTGTTCCCTTCCTCTGCTGCTTTGGAATCTGTAGATTTTTTAGCATGTTTACAAGGGGGCTCAGGGCTCTGGCTCTTCACCTCACAGTGAGCACATGTTGTTTCCGGCGTCCCTCGGCAGCCTGTCTCTGGGACCCTGGTCCAGGCACAGACCTGGAGGTACTTCAGCCCTGTACCTAGCGCTTTCAGCTCTGTCTTGAGCTGTGTTCTAGTACTTTGTTTTTGAGCACCTTTCTTTCTTGCTTCTCTCGGCTCATAGTTTTCCTGCCATGACCTCATGTTTGAAAGAGAAGGAATGTGTCAGCTGGCTGCACTGTCTCGACCCAGGGCCTCACTCGGTTATTATAGTGGCTGCGTAGACATAGTGCTTGACCTGCTAGGCATTGCTGAAGAGCATGTTGCAAGGTGATGCATAAAAGCAGCAGGGATCAGCTTTAGCTAGGACAGGAAGCGCTGCAGGTAACCTGTCCTGGAAGCTGTGGAGAGCCTCCCACACAGGGCTCTGCCTACCAGGCCTGAATGTAGCCAAAGGACCACAAGAATGGCACATGTGTTACAGGACTTGCCAGACACAGTAGCACACACTCATGATCCTAGTACTCAGGAGGTTGAGGCAAGAGGATGGTAATCCAGCCTGCACTACGCAGCAAGTTCAAGGACAGCCTGGACTACATAGTGAGAACCTGCCTCACAAAGCAAAATAGAATTATCTTTTTCCCTCATGACATCGGGTGCAGAGAAAGTTAAACTTTTTATTTCAATCAAACAGTTATGTTCTCATTCTTTAACACGTTACCCTCTAATCTTTTTTTCATCTTTTAGGTTAATTTGAATAAGAGATCTGACCTGACCAGCTCAACTGTACACATACAGCTCTTCGAAGAAAATTAATATTTGCCCTGAGAGGAACAAGTGACACAGGTATGTATTGCTAAAACTCTCCTTTTTCTTGCTTCTCTCCACCTCCTCACATGTTAGTTAGCATGGAGTAGAAATGGGAAGCAAAAGACTTATTTTTTAATTCCATAAACATTAGCTACTCTAGACCAGTGTGCACTGGTAGCTCAGCCCCCTGGCCCAGGCCAGGCAGAACCCCTCCTGCGGAGCCACACTCTGCAGCCTGCATGACTCTGATCTCTTTCTAATGAAGGAGACAAGGAAGAACTTCTCTTTAGAGCCGTATTCCCAGCACACACTCCAAGAAACTTTGGACTCTCTGATAGGTTTTTACTGTATGCCTTCCACTTCCTAGATTTAAAAACCACAATTAACCAGCTGCTGCCTTGCCCTGGGTGTTTGTTCAACATTAGTCTGACTAGCTGAGGTAACAGGGCTCCATTAGGGTGAGGGATGGGCTCTATAGAGGACCCCTTGAGCACCTGTAAGTGCAGTGCTGTGGCATTATTTAAGCCATGGGCCCTTTGGAATCGGACAAATGCTGTGAAGCCTCTCTCTGAAAACTGCACTTACGCACAAGCTTTCATGTATGATTTCAGGGAGTTCCAGGACCCTAAAGTCCCACAGGGGCTCCACAGGCCCTCAAGTTAAGAATCCTTGTTGTGGAGGGTTATAGACAGCCTTCAGGGGACCTGACTGACCCCAGAAGTGAGATGATGTGTCACCAGAAGCAAAGATAAAAGAAAACTGCTCAACAGGTCAAATGTTGCTGCAGTTGAGAGGGCATTCCAAGATCTAGCCTTGATGCAAAATTGTGTCAGGGATGCTTTAAAAAAATAACTTCCGGTAAGGATGGTGGTACATACCTGTGAGTGCAGGATTGTGAGTTCAAGTCTTATCTGGGCAACTTAGCAAGAGCCTGTCTCAAATTTTTTGAAAAAGCCTGAGGGTGTAGCTCAATATGAAGGCACTGTGTTTAATCCCAGTACCACTGGGGGAAAAAAAAAAAAAATCTTCTTGTCCTGATGGTGGAAGGGTACTTAAGCAGCTGTGAACATTGATTTTCTTTCCTCTCTGAGTTGAGAACTCTTTACCAGGGATCATTTGCAGTGTTTTGAGGGCCTACATTTGCTGAAGTTGCCTTGATTTTAGAGAAGGATTTCTGGGGCCTTTCTGGACCTGACTAAGGACTCAGGGGTGCTGAGTCAGCTACACCCCACTTGTTTTTTGGAGTTTATTTGCCCTGCCTGTTTTGTCTCCATTCTTGGCTACCAGAGTTCTTGTAATGACTGATTTTTGCAGAGGCCACTTGGAATCATTCCAGGAGAAGCAGTTGCCACAGATACCTGGGCTATAAGAGTTACCATTTTCTTCTCTTTCTCTTCCTTCTCCTCTATCCCTTCCTCCTCTTCTTTTCCTCTTTCTCCCTTCCCCTCCTCTTTCTTTATTAGCTTGTGTTTTCCTAATTCCTAAAGTAACATCTGATGCTCTGTTACTCAGCTCAGCAGCAAGGAAAAGGCTAAAGGTTTGTTACTGCTACATTTGTTCAGTTCAGGATGTGTGTGTGTGTGTGTGTGTGTGTTGTGTGTAAAGTAAAGCTACTTTAAAACATGAATATTAGGGGTGCTTGTGGAATATAATATACATATATAGTTTTTGTGCTGTAATTTAAATTTTTGGTCTAGTGGTCAAATTTGGTTCACCTTTAGCCTAATTTTGTACTAGTGGATACAGCCAGGCTCCTTCTACAGGAAAAAAAGCCACAATCATTGTCACACTGCCTGAAACCGCCAAAGCCATGGCTTGGACTGAGTCAGAGCTAGACTCCAGCACCAGGGCCTCCAAGGAGGAGATGCCTGGGTCAGGCTGAGATTGCTTCTACTCGGCCTGCTCTGAAAACATAGGTGGCGCAGCAGGCAGGACAGCGTACCTGGCACCTGCAATCCCATCCACATTTCCACCTGAGGCTGTAAACGCAACACTTAGCGCACACCTGCTGCTCCAGGTGCGGATTAAGTGTGCAGTGCTTTGAGGGGGCCTGTTCACAGAAATCCATGTGCTGCCTCCAGTCCTGCTCCTGCCTTTTTTACTAGTCTTATTTTTCCTACTCTCAAAAAGACACAATGGTCAGCATTTTCCAATCTGCTCATCTTGGAAATGCTCATGAAATTAGAGAAAGAAAAGCCTGCCGGCTCCAGTCTGTGACGGTCCAGGGCTGTGTGCCTGCAACTGGTGGCTGCCAGCACATCGGCAGTTGGAAGGCCCTGGTGGTGTCCTCCTGGGTGTGCTCCATGGACACCCGTGCCTGGCTCACCACAGGATGTGCCTGTGCTGCGTGGCATGCTCCACCCCTCCTCAGACCTGTCCTTCTGCTCACCAGATCAAGATGAATGCCATGATGGAAACCCCTGAGCTCCCAGCCGTGTTTGACGGGGTGAAACTGGCTGCCGTGGCTGCTGTGCTGTACGTGATTGTCCGGTGTTTGAACCTGAAGAGCCCCACAGCCCCGCCTGACCTCTACTTCCAGGACTCAGGGCTGTCGCGCTTCCTGCTCAAGTCCTGTCCCCTTCTAACCAAAGAGTGAGTAGACAGCGTGCTGTCACATGCCAGCCTGCTGACCTGTGTGTCTCTGGGTGGTGTTCAGAGAAGACCCTTCTCGGGCTGGGGGTGCGGTACCCAGTGGTGGACGTGTACTTAGTGTGCTGTGTGTCCTGGGTTTGATCCTGAGCGTTCCCATCCTTGCCAAAAGAATCTTTTCGTGTTGTGGCCTTATGGCACTGATGGAAAATGTCCTCACTGGTATTAAACCAGCCAGTACTGATGGTAGCCAGTGTTTACTGGAAGGCCTGGGAGAGAATCAAGTCTTCGTTGCCTGCAAGCATCTTGTCTTCCACAGTATGGTATGATCCATGCCAAGGACCTTGCGCAAAGCATTAGTCATGTAGGTGGACGTGGAAGGCCTGACAGCATTCTGTTTCTTTAGCTAGTGCTCTGTTGCCAATCCTAGGACTGAGGAATCATCCAATCTAGAATGCGATAAACAAAAGGCACAGACATGTTAGTTGGATACTCTGTCCTTGTCATACCGGAAACTTGCCATACCGGAAACTGCACCCAGCATTAGCTGAGAGCTGTCTCCTGAGGAGAGTGGCCTCACCTCAGTGGACCAGGTCTCCCTGCAAAGGCCGTATGTGAGTTTTGGAGGTGGCAGGAAGGGCACTGCTTCTGACAGAGGAAGCCGTCGGGAGGCTGTATTCTAGGTCACACATACTGCTCCACACAATGCAGTGTGCAGTAACCCCGCCCCCGTGGATGTCTTCTGATTATGTCCAGGCCTCATTCACTCCCCATCAGGGTAAAGTCCCCCTCTTTGCCATGGTTGCTTCGTTCTATATCTTTGCTAGCTCATTCCCCTCTCCTGCTCTACCTCTGGCTGCCTGGAAAGCTATCTTTCTTCGTCTCCCTTCAACGTGAGACGAGGAGGGTATGATATCCTGTGGGTAGTAACATAGTAGAAGCCTGTCCCTTCATCCTTCTTGGGGTTGGTACACGGGTGGGTGATTCTTCCCTCCTAGCAAACCAACGGGTCACAGAAACAGTTGAGTGTTTGGTGTTTGCTTCCTCTAACTGGCTGACACGTGCCCTTAGACAAGGGTGAAGACCTTCCCCTGTGGGCTTTGGCATTCGGTTGTTCATGTATAGTTTTCTCATTGTTGTAAGAGTGACACCATGAAGTTTCCTCTTAGTCGTAATGACACCATAACCCCATGTCAAGACAGATAGTGCTTAACTCTGGTAGAGTGACGGTGTACCACATAATGTCATCTTATGGCGTCTGAAACTGCCCCTGCTGAGGGATTGTGTGTTGTGTGGCCTCCACAGCTTGGCACCAAATAAAGATGTAGTGCTTTTACTGTGCAGTGTTTGCAGTTAAAAATCTGCTCTGTGCCAGTCATGGTGACAAAGGCCTGTAATCCCAACTTTTCAGGAGGCTAAGACAGGAGAATCATAAGTTCAAGCCCAACATGGGCAACTTAGTGAGACTGTCTCAAAATAAAAAGTGAATTACAAAGACTACAGATATAATTCAGTGAAAGAGCACTCTTGAGTTCAATCGGCAGAACTACGGGGGGGGGGAGAGCAATCTGCTCTGTAGAGGGTATATACACAGTATCTATGTTTGAGAATTGTCCAGCATTTTTCTTACTTGTATTCTGAATGTTTCTTCAGTACTTATTTAGATAAGTCACTAATTTAGACTGTGTAGCAACCTTTTACCTCCTTTCAGATTAAGTGGACTCTTACTTTTTTTTTTTTTTTTTTTGTGGAACCGGGAATTGAACTCAGGCCCTTGCACTTGCCAAGGAAGCACTTATTCCACAGAGCCATCTCCCCGGGCCCTGGACTTTTACTTTTAAAGAGCTTTTAAAAGCAAAGTATTTAGCCATGTGCAGTGGTGGAACCTGAGGTAGGAAGCTTACAATTCAAGGCCAGCCTGGGCAATTTAGCAAGATCCTATCCCCAGCTCCCCTCCCAAATTATATATATATATTCCTCCTGTTTTCAGCATCCCCAGACTGGGATTATAGGCACACACCACTACACTCAGATTCTGTGGCCAGCTCAGCCTGCCTTGGGGGTGGGGCTGAGGATAGAACCATGGTCCCTGTGCTCGCCTAAGCTTGCCTAAGCAGGTACTTAGTCCACTGAGTTGTCTCCCTAGCCCCCAAAATAAATTTTAAAAATGGGCTGAGGCCATAGTTTAATGTGAAGGCCTTGAGTTCATTGCTCAATACCACACACATACATACACACACGTATATACATACACAAAGGCATTCAAAACCTTGCAAGTTTATCTGCAGACAAGAATTAAATTTGCACGTAGCTTTGGCTCCTGAGTAATTAGAAGGAAAAAGGCATAGGAAAGCAGCTTTTACGTAGGCCCTGGAAAAACACTGTGTAAGGTTTGATTGTGTACTAATTGCTGAAGTGTAAATAAAAGCTGATTATGGCCATTTTTACCTCTTCGTCTTATTTTCCTTTTAAAAATAGCCAGAAACATTGAATCCCAGCCTCCCTTTGCTTCTTTTCCCTCCAGCACCCGTGATAAGCCTGAGGTGCTGGTGCCATGTGACTCTGTCGAGATGACTCAACCTCCCCTCCCCCTGGGATAGGAGAGGGTCCCTGTCTGTCACCATCTCCATGGAGGTACAGGCTGGGTGTGAGAAGTGAGCACCCATGTGTGTGCTGGTGACATCAGTGTGGAGGTTCTGGTCACTGGCCATTGCCACCTCCCTTCCCGAAACTCAGATAAGGAGGGTGCTGCTGGCCTGGGTTCAAGGAGAGCTGATGTTGCTTAGGAACTAGCTGTGGTAATGTGGGCATATCCCTTCAATTCATAGGACCAGCCCTTTTAGAGTGTGTCGGAGCGTTCTGTAAGCACCTTCCAACTTGAAATGATAGACGACTAGAGGGCAGAGGGATTCTTTCTCTCCCACATTTTTTTTCTTTCTTTCTTTTTTTTTTTTTTTCTTTTTTTTTTTTTGTATTTTAGGGAAGGGTCTACAGGGTGTTCAGGTGTTTACATCCTCCCCAGAGCTGGGATAACAAGCCTGCGCCACAACTTCCAGTCTCAATTGCCATCGCAGTGCACCCTGGAGGTGGGGCCAGCATGGCAGGCCCAGGGATTGAACCCCCAGCCCCTGCACCTGCTTTCAGGCACTTTAATCCACTGAGCTATTTGGCTGGCCTTTCTCTCCCAGTTTTAACTAACATCTTATTTATGATGTAGATTTGGAGTTTAGGACTAGCTGCATCCTGTGTTTGTGTAGCACATTGACAACATATTTTCTGCATTTGCAATGACATTCTGCCATTTAATCCTCTTAAAAGTGTAAAGGTCGAGTTCACTTTTTCTGTCATTTTAAGGATGAGAAAACCAAGAGCAGCAGGGGGAAGCTGAACACAAACTGGGGCCAGTTTCCCTTCTTAACAATGGGGTGCTTTCCCGGAGAGGGTACAGGAGCTGAGGCAGGAGCAAGAAGAGGCCAGCCCTCAGAAGCAGCAGGAGCAGGAGCAGGAGCAGGGCTGGCCTCCTGGTGGCCTTTGATCCCTTCATGACCTCTTTCTATTTCCATCACTCCAGTGGAAACCACTGCCCTCTGATGTTCTGTCACTTGCTGTATTTCCACAGTGGCCGATCGTGTGTTTGAAGCTGAGAGCAGGAAATGCCTGTTCTGGGTAAAAGTGCTTCTCTTGACGCTTTGAAGCTGTTTTCCTAGGAGGAAGCCACGTGCAGCCTCACGAGTACTGGCCCGAGCTGGAAGGGTCAGTTAAGGGCTTTACAGCAAGCTACTGCTCCCATTCAGTAGCCCCGACTGCAAGCCGCTGCTCATTACACCAGCAGCGCACATCAGAACATACCCTCTCGCTGTCCTGTCCGCAGCAGGGAGTGATTGATGAGAGGTGAAGACCGAAAGTTTCGCCCCTCTTAGCATTCAAATCAGTTTTACATTTGGTTTCAGATGATTGACCTAAACATACATCACAAACAAATCTTTTTCCATCTGGAGGAAAACTTTGCTTTGGGGGGAGGATGTGCCTCTTGTTCACTTAGCAACAGATCAATATTTGCCTAGCACTTTGTTTTCTGTTCCCGAGAAGTGTTTGCTTTTAGTGTTCATGGATTGAGAACAATCTAGCTGTTGATACAGATCTCTATAATAAATTTAATAATGTATTTATTTTTTAAAAATAGAAAATAAAGCACACAAAACATCTATAACTCTACCCGAAGATAACATCCCATTGCTATTGTGGTGTTCATCTCTGTGGTTTTTATCTTCAACACATAACAGTGTGGGTCCCATATAGAATCAGTTTGCTGATTATTTGTGTTAATATAGAATTAGTTTGCTTTGTATTTGTGTTGTGTTGTTTGGTTTCATGATGTTAGGGATCAAACCCTGGTCCCTGAGAACCTAGGGAAGTGTTTCACCCCTGAACTCCGTGCGCCCCCAGCTCAGGACACTGCCTACGTATTACTTGGTAATCTGTTTTAGTACTTGGTAGGCCCTGAGCATACAACCACACCACAACCTTTCTTCTAACACGTGATTCTTGTTTTGTTTTGTTTTCTGGTACTGGGCATTGAACTCAGGACCCTGCGCTTGCCAGGCAGGCGCTTATTGTACTGAGCTATCTCCCCAGCCCCTCTAACATGTGATTCCTAACTGCTTCAGAATTTTGTCATTCACTCAGGTTTCCTCATGGTTTTTGGCCACAGAGGTGTAGAGAAATTTGGAGTAGGACACAAAGCTAGGTCTTTTCCCTCCCAACTAGCCAGGGAACCCCGGACAAAGCGCAGCTCTTCTGACCCTCAGTGTCCTTTGTAAAAACAAACAGGCAAGTTGTGAGCAGTGTCCTTCAGTGCCAGCACGTCTGCTTCTGGCTTCCTTGCATGGTCAGCAGCGTGATGCTAAAGGGGGTACCCTGAGAGGGGCCCTGACTACGGGCCAAGGGAAGAAGCTAAAGGGAAAGATTTTCTTGTATACCTGTCCTCTTCTAACTATTCCCAT